CCAACTTCCATTTGAATTCTTTTTTAAAAAGCAATCACATTTAAAATAATTCTTAATGCATGTTTTCTGCTTCAAACCAGTGGTGTTCAGAATCTGTATTTTGGAGCACAGTTTTACTCTTCAGGGTTATATTTTGCCAAACTAGGGGCATTTATTTGCCCTTGGGCTAAATAATAAAATTGACATTATCAGACAATAAGAGTTTCATTTGTATGATACATTGATGTGTAATATAAAAATCTCAGATTTGCAGTATTTAAAAATTCTGCTTTGTTTTGTTTTTTTCCCTTAACAATGAAGTTGGCAACTATTTTACCCCTCTGTAAATAAAAGCGAGTTATCGCTGGCTTAGACTTTAGTATTCTGTTTCTGAGGACTATCGGTTTTGTTGTTAAACTTTCTAGTAGTCTATTAAAGCTTTATCCTTTTAGGGCGTAAATCAGAAGAAGAAGGGGGCGAGGACAATGGATTGGAAGAGAATTCCAGAGATGGACAGGTATGGGGGGAGGGGGAAGAAAAATGCATTGTTTCTTTTAAAAGTTTGTTTCAAGTCACAGTAAGAATTGGTTTCCCTTTTTCTTTTCATTCCACCTCAACTCTAGAAGGATGTTGAAGCAAGCTCAGACAACTTGCAGGATATCGACATGATGGACATCAGCGTGTTGGATGAAGCCGAAATAGATAACAGCAGTGCCGTGGACTGTGGAGATGACTACCGCTCTGAAAGCATTCTGGATCCTGATAAAGATAACATTGATATGGAAATGAAAGAACTTCCAGAGCAGCTGATGGAAAGCGAGGTAGATCATCGGGGTGGGGGGTGGGGCATATTTTATTACTTATATCATGCCAGAGATGTGCCTGCAAAGATTAAGGCTGGCTACTCAAAATCAATATAAAGACCTATCTCTGCCAATTAGCTTGGTGCTCCAATGGAGAAGCATCACAGTGGAGGTGGTGGATCGATTTAACAACTGATCCCACCTCTTGATGACATGATCCCAGATACTGCAACCGTCATAAATATGTGTCGGTTGGCAAGCGGCCAAATTTTGATCACATGATGGAGATTCTGCAAAACGTCCTAAGTGTGAAAAAATAGTCATAAGTAATTTTTTTCTAATGCTGTTGTGACTTTGAATGGTCATTAAACAAACTTGTAAGTCGAGGACTACCTGTGACTGACAATGAATGAATGAATGAAATTCAGACCCCTGTATTTTAACATGGGCATTGTTTTTCTGCAGGATATAATCTAAATAAATGCAAAGATTAGCTGCAAAGCCCCACTTTCACCCCTCAGTCCTATGCTATTTCTGATGCCTTCCCTTCAGTTGGAATGTTCACAGGACTCCTCTGACATTACACAGGCTGAGTGTCGCTGGGAAGCGACACTTGGTACTAGATAAGTGTGTCAGTGAAATTTGTTACTACTTCAGGGAGTTGCTGTTTGCAGTAAGCATTTATAGTAGTGGGACACAGTCATTCATATTCTTTTGATGGATTTTGCCTCTACAAAAAGATGCTCAGCTTTTGAAAGGCACATCTGTGTTTGTTATTTATCCTGTCAGGAGAATGGTGACGAACTTGATGATCAGTTAGAGGCTGCTTCACCTGACTTGGCTGAAGTGAAGGTAACCTGCTGGCTCTCCTCTCAAGGGCTTGGAAAATGTGCATTCAACCAGCAACTTTTTTTTTTTAAGGGGCCAAGTTAATTTGCCTTCTCCCAAGCCATGCCCAAATTCTTTAACCCTCTCTCTCTCTCCAAGAAAGAACAGTTGTGTTGGCTATCTCTAATCAATGGAACACAATAATCCCTCGTAGTTGTCAGTTTTGGCATGGTTTTTCTTTCCTTTCCCACTTTTTTTTAGGAGTCATGCTGCTGTATTTTTATTTTTACAGAGTCAAATCAGTGCTGTAATTCTTATTTTTACAGGGTCAAATCAGACAGGTACACCAACATTCCTTCACACAGTTCAGATTTCAACCCATTTTTATCCAGCCCAATCCTGCTGCTTATGGGAATAAATTTTAATACCATGAAACTGGAATTATGGGGGCTGAGGAGACAGTTAATCCTTTCATAAAATCCTTCCCAATTCCATAACTGTTTTGTTGGGCTAGATAGCCAAAAGAGCTTTCTCATGGCAGACGTTTATAGAATTTCACTTTCAATAAACTTATGCTATTTCTGGGGTGGTGGTGGTGGTTGCTGACTTCTTAAAATTTTTGGACTGAGTTTTGTCTTTTAGAGATATCATCTTTTTTTCTATGACTACAATGATGTTGATTATGTAACCCTTTTTTCACAAAAAGATTGTTCTGACTGAGGCTTTTGAAGATCATGAAGCAAACTCCTTGTCCCAACAAAAATCCCTTTTATTACTGTGAATTCTGCTCATTCATATCCAACAAAATCTTTAAATTGCAGACCTTATCTGGTTTGGAGAGCTGACAGGCTGATATTTGATATCTGCAAAGGTTAACAAGGAGTCTCAGAGCGTCACAAACCAATTAAGCAAATTAATTGTCTCCTGCAAACTCCACTCCCCCTTCGCTCCTCTTTTATTTCCTCTGGGAGAGGCCATTCATCCTGTGGCCTTCCTCCTAAGTCGGCCCCTGTTTCTTAGCTGTTCCCTTCATCTGGCAATTCTGCGTATGCGCACACCGGGAACAGGCTCCAGCTGTTCGTCTGCCTCACTGATGTCTGACTCCGAAGGCAGCTGATAACTGTCAGAGGGCCCTGGCCTCCTCTCTGCCTCAGACACAGAGCCCTCATCAGAGCCTTCCCCAGACTCCAGGACTGGCCCATGCTCCTCCCCAACCTCCTGACTGTCTGAATCTGCTGCCAGCTCTGGTGGCCACTGGCGGGCCACAACAAAGATGAAGTATATCAAAGGAAAGATTATCCTGCAGGTTCTGTGTTGCTGTTTGCATGGACAGAAATGGATTTTAAAAAGCCCTTTGTTTTTCTAGAAGCTTGATTCCCTATGGCTGAGAAACTGTGTTTGGAAAGAAATGCCTGTAATCAGGTGATGTTCTGGGAATTAAACAAGAAGCTGGTTTCAGCCCTTGAGATTTAGATTCCTTGTCTGTGTGTGTGTTTGTGTGTGTACATACGTACACACACACAGGTAGAGTATTGACATACTGTGACCTAGCTATTCCTTTTAAAAATAACAGTAGCAACATAGCCTATTTCTAAGAATCCTAAATGGCTTAAAACTGTGTCTCTTAACCTTGGCAGCTTTAAGATGGATGGACTTCAACTCCCAAAAATGCTGGCTGTGCAATTTTGGGAGTGGAAGTTTATCATTCTTCAAGTTGCCATGTTTGAGAAACACTGGTTTAGGGTTTTATAAATATTCATAACTCAGTGCGAGGTGAAATATAAGGATGCGGCTGTTGTTTTTTTAAGGAATCTAGGATTTGAAAGAATCATAGATCCAATCTTATATTCATTAATTAAACATTCCCAACATGTTGCTGGCAGCTTCTTGAGTAAGCATGAACACACCAAACAAATAGTTTTGAATCATTTGATTCCGTTTTTTGTTGTTGTTGTTGTTGTTTATTGGTTAGGTATTTTTCCCCTTGATGGGATTGGACTAGAAGACTTCCAAGGTCCCTTCCAACTCTGTTATTCTGTTAGGTTGTTTCCATTTATTGTCAATGATAGTCTTCTTGACAAACATTGACAATTCTGGATCATTTTGGTGACCTGTTTTCCCCTTTATTAGACTCACATAAGCACGCCTCTCAACTACGTGGCCTTTTTTTGTTTTCAGCTCTTGTTGGCTTGTTCTATTGTTTTTCTGTCTCCCTCCTCCCTTGCAATTGTGCTTTTAGTATCTGAATATTTTCCAATATATTATGTGGATTTTAAAAACATCTATAGGATCCTGTTACTACGTGATTTGAACATTGAACAACTATTTTAAAATCCTAGGTGCTTAACAAAAGTACTTAGCAATTTCATAAAATAACCTTGTCCAGGATGGGATTTGTCATAAAGGAATCAGGCATGAGGAGCAGATTACAATAATTTAATCTCAGGCTTTTTTCTAGCTAGACTGGGAAATTACAATATGAATGTAGAAGCCATTATTTCCCCCCTCGTTTAACATTTTTCCTTGTTTTTGCTACAGGATTTGGAAGAGCATCATTCAGAACCAGGTATTTTTCTGTTAATTTCTTCTATTTTTTTTTTTAAAAAGTGCAGCGGAGGTAAGGGGCCAGTTCCTGGACTTTCTAGTTGTATTAATTAATTACATACCCACGTAATGCTCTAGTGTGTAAATATCTGGAATGCAATCGTGATTCCAACTCTGAATTCATGCCTGCCACTTAAGTGCTTTTTTCCCCCCCTTAGACCTGTTAAAAAAAACTTTTAAAGTCCTCTCTAGTTGCGCAGATACACTAGAAGGAAGTGAATGTCAAATATGAAAGCAAATCCTATAGAGCAGATCGTAGCATGTGATGTGTGTGACCAGTAGAGCAGAAAGGCTAGTTTAAAAGTTGCCCTAGGGAAGCGTTGTGAGTTGCAAGCTAAACAGAAGAAGCAAGAAGAGAGGTTCTACGTGGAAATGCCATTAAAAAAAAAATTGCTATTTACTTTCTTGGAGTTACATATTCTTGCATCATCAGAAGACCTTCCAGTTTTCTTGTTGGACCACCATGCTTTAAACCAAAAGAGAAAGAAAGAAATTCAGAGTTTGAAATGGAAATGTGTGTTCTTGATGCATTCTGTTTAAGCCTCTTGGAATTCTGGAAGAAAGAACCTCTTGAAGATCTCTCAAGAATTGTGCCAGAAGGTGCTCTCTTTTTTTTTTTAATGGACTGATAAGATCAGGGTTGGTTTTTTTGTTTTTTTCTTTTCCTTCGTAGCGTGTGATCTTTTTAAAATTATGTCTTAGCTTTTAGGCATTTGAATGATGTGTACCGAAAGCGTTTTTCCAGTTTCTGTGTAGCTATAACCATACTGTTAGACTGGCAGCCATGCCCGTTCCGCATATGTCTTTGCTATGTTTCCCCGGTGATTAAACCTTGTGCCATTCTATTCCTGTTAAATCTATAGAAAATGAGAAAATGCTCGACATTTTGGGTGACACTTGTAAATCTGAGCCTCTTAAAGAAGATGCATCCGAATCGGAGCAGGCGCAGGAAGCAAATGAACCGTCCCTGGGCAAAAAGGAAGAAGAGGAAGACACGCTGGCTGCCGGCACCCAGTTGGACGAAGACCTTGTAGATAAGGACAGCCAATCAGGCCCAGCTGAGGCCAAGAACCAAGAGGACGAAGGGAATCTCTTAGTGGTAGCGAAAGGGGAGCCCAGCGAGCAGACAGTTGAGGAAGACAAACCGGACTCGGACTCTTTAGCGGTAGAGAGCAGGAGTGGAGGTGGTGAGAGTAGCAAAGAAGCCCAAACTCTGGAAGCCTGTAGTGAGGAAACCGCGGAATCGGACACAGGTCCCCAAGTGGTTAGTCCAGAGGCCGAGAAGATGGAAGTGAAGGCTAATGTTGAGGAGGAGCCTTCTGCCACTAGAGAGTCCTCTGCCCAAGAGGGTGGTGATCAGAACACGAGGTTTGTTTCTCTCCGTTTTAGCAGCAAAAGGAAAATGCCAATCCCTGATCCGCTATGCCAGTATAGCATCCATCCAAAGAGCCAGAGTAAGGTACCAGCCAGTACGATACCCAGATTTATAATCCTGTGAGCCTTGATATAACTTTGACAGGTAAGCCGCTATCTAGAGACCTGTGTGGACGGAGAGGTTAGCGCTTTCCACAACAGAGGAAGACTAGATAGATGCAATAATTCAGAGCTTTTCATTGCCGCTTTTCTCAGTGGCATTGTTTGTTTGTTTTTTCCCCCTTTTGTGTCCAAGGTCAAGGCTGGATTCATTTGATCCAAAGGGTGGAATGCCAGGACAATTCTAGAAATCAGTCAGTTAGCCTACGTAGGAAAGCAGGGATCCATAACAGTCATACATCTGCATGCATACACATTTTAAGAGAACAATAAAATGTTTTTTTTTTAAAAAAAAAAAATTCACCTGGCCCCGAAAGAGGTATAGGAAAACTAGCCGCACATTCGGAGCATCATAAGGACAACATGGTACAATTTGTGATTATATTACAGTACAGGTAGTCCTCAACTTACAACAATTCAATTAGTGGCCATTCAAAGTTACCTCAGCACTGAAAAAAGTGATTTATGACTTGTTTTTCACACAACAGTTACCGCATGCCCGTGGTCACATGATCAAAATTCAGCCGCTTTGGCAACTGACTCCTATTTATGACGGTTGCAGCATGCTGCGTAATCAACTTTTGTAACCTTCTGACAAGCAAAGTCAATGGGGAAGTCAGATTAAGTCAAACTAATTTAAACATTGTAGTGATTCACTTAACAACTGTGGCAAGAAACTCATAAAATGAGGCAAAACCCACGAAATGTGTCACTTAGCAACATAAATTTTGGGCTCAGTTGTGGTCGTAATTCGAGGATTGCCTGTACTTAAAAACAGGTACATTATGCTAAATACGACTACTATAGAAATGGAGTGCAGCTTTGTACTTTTAGTACTTCAAGGCAGTAATAAAGGTGAAAATAACTGGATTCCTGTCAGTAAGTGGAACATATTATATCCCCTCCTCCTTCTTGAATCATGGAGGGAATTTAAAAAAAAACATTGTTGCATCTGTTTATTTTTCTCCAATTCCTCAGAATGTTAACCTTCCCCTCTTTTTCAGTTGTGTAAGTAATGAGTTGATTAATCCTGCTAGTGCTTAACAGTTTTATTAATCTGTGGGTAATACGGGCTGGTACCTTACATTTCTCCATTCTAGACAAAATGCTGCCTTTTTCCTTTTTATATATACATATATACAGTATGTAGATAGATAGCTGGTCTGTAAGAAGTTAGGTTAGGATGTTTCTTCAATTTGGCCTGCAAGCCCACTAAAATTCCTTGTTACCTTAAAAAAAACATGGCTTTTGTTTTTTCCCTTTCTTGTGCATTAAACATTGTTTTGCAACCTTTTTAAAAAAAATATTTAAAAAATGGTTTCTAAGATTAAATTGTGAGTACTATAAGACTGCTTTTTCAATTCATTGATTTCATTTATGTTTAAACCGGGTAGGTATTTGGACTCTAATGAATTTTTAAAATACCTTATTATATGTAGTAGCCTTTCCTCCTCCCGTTTGCTGACTGAGCTTTCCTTTCTCTCTTTTGTTCTTAGTTCTGAGGAATCCAAAGATCCCAAACAGTCTTCAAAAGAGGAAAAAGGTATTTGCGTTTCTTTGTGTATAAAAAAACCTATATCTTGTCCACTTAACACATAACCATTACTGGGGAGAGGACATTTAAATGTTGGATGGCTTCGCACATGACCTCAGCTGATGCTTCATGATGAGTGGAGATGAAATCCTACAGTTAAAAAATAGTCAATAAGCATTATTTATCAATTAGCATGATGGCATTTTGTGATGGTGGATACTGTCCTGCAGATGTCAAAAGACTGATGAATGCTGGGATTCCAAAGGCAGTAATTTCAGACATCTTTTGCAAATATCTCCTTCGATGGCATTCATCAGTGGATGCTGACTGCAGTTGAAACTAAAATACCTCAAGTATGACTATTGCCACTTTTTCATGTATTTATTAACAATAATGCTTAGATTTATATAGTGCTCAATAGTGCTTTACAGCCCTCTCTAAGCAGTTTTGCAGGGTTGGTATGTTGCCCCCAACAGTCTGGGTCCTCATTTTTACCAACCTGGGAAGGATGGAAGACTGAGTCAACTTGAGCCTGTCAGAATCAAACTCCTGGCAGTGGGAATGCAGTTGGCCTGCAATACTTCATTCTACCCACTGCGCCACCAAGGCTCTTATATAGTGAATATCTTATATATGTGAAGTGTTAATGCCACCTTATAATGCCTTGGTAAGGCCACACTTGGAATGCTGTATTCAGTTTTGGTCACCACGATGTAAAAAAGATGTGGAGACTCTAGAAAGAGTGCAGAGGAGAGCAACAAAGAGGATTAGGGGACTGGAGGCTGAAACATATGAAGAACGGTTGCTAGAATTGGGTATGGCTAGTCTA